TTCTATACTGCTGGTGGGAATGCAAACTAGTTCAACCTCTATGGAAAACAGTGAGGTGATTTCTAAAAGAATTAGAAATTGATCTTCCATACGACCCAGCAATCCCCCTTCTTGGAATATACCCAGAGGAACTTCAATCATTCTACAATAAAGATAACCTGCACATGCATGTTCATTGCAGCATTATTTATAATAGCAAAAAAAAAAAAAAAGGAATCAACCTTGCTGCCTATTGAAACTGGACTTGATTTTTATATTGCACAGCCATAAAGAAGTACAAACTCATGCACTTCACCTCAACTTGGATGGATTTAGAGTCTATAATATTCAGTGATTTATCACAGAAACAAAGAATTGAGTACCACATGTTCTCAGTCATAAGCAGACCCTGAACATTCACCATAATACTGTAAGAAAGGAATTGGCAGTAGCGGGAGACTGCCAGGGGAGGGAGTGGGGACACATAACATCAGTAAGGTACCTGATCTCAAACCAGGCAATGTGGGGACCAAAGGGAGGCCCAAACTTTACCTGCACGATGACAAATTGTATATCTAATCCTGAATTGTACCCCACATCTTAAAAAAATACCAAAACACTTCTAATTTGAAACACAAGATAAACATAACTACATATCCATTTCAGAAAGAAATAAAACAAGTCAGATAATCATCCTAATTATTTCAGATCAGGGTTGCAGGTACCTGGAGCTATCCTGGCAGCTCAGGGCACAAGGCAGGATGCCACCCCACCAAAAAACAGACTCCACATGCCACACTCACTCATGCGGGGACCATGTAGACAGGCCACTTAACGTGGATGGGGAGAAAACCAGGGTCCTGAGGGAAAACCCACGCAGACTTGGGGGGACATGCAAATCCCACACAGTGGCCCCAGCTGGGAATTGATTTTTTTTCTCACCAAGGTTAGAAGGAAATGATGTGGAACAAAATGATGGTATTTGAAGACCTGCTGTGTATTTATCCCAATATGTGATGGAATACTACACAGCCCTAAAGAAGAAAATTATGTCCTTCACGGCAACAGGGATGCAACTGATGATCATTGTTCTAAGTGAGCTACCACAGAAGCAAAGAACTGAATTCTCCATGTTCTCACTCACAAGTGGGCCCTAGGCTCACTAGATATATGAGCACAAAAGTGGGAACAACAGAAGCTGTGCACTGCTAGGGGAGAAGGGAAGGAGGGACAAGGGGCACACAGCCACACACTGGGCATCAGGTCCACTGTTATGGGGAGAGAGGGCTCACTAGAAGCAATTTACTTATGGAGTAAATTTTCACATGGACCCCACAACTAAAATAATAAAATAAAAACAAGAGAAAGCTACTGTGGGCATCTCTCCAGTAATGGCCTTCCTCCCTGCTGGCAGATGAGCACAAACATGTCCTCTCCACAGTAAAGATCCAGAGGGAAGTCAGAGAGGGACTCCAAGAACTGGTCTGGTGATTGCCCCTGGGCTGTGGCTGCAAGGGGCAGACCCCACGTTGTGCAGACAGCATCTGCCTGGGAAAAGGGACAGAAAGACCAAGGTGGGAGGTGGTGCTGAGCGAGGTGTGGCATCAGAGCCCTTCAGTGAGGAAGGGGATGGGGACGATTCAGGCTCAAGCCACCTTCCCTGACAACCAGAGTAGAGACTGAGCACATGAACTGTTAGGGAACAAAAAATTAAAGGAAGAAAGCAGCTAATAAATACCTCTCTCAAGCAATTTACAGATTCTCACAGAATAGTTTTGCTTTTACAATCTAATATAGTACCCCTTGATATTTTAAAATGTCTATATTTTAAATAAAAAGGAACTAGCCTAAAATCAACAACATTTTAAAATCATTTAATATATCAAATGATGTGATGGCATATAAGAATACTTGGCAGTGTCAGGGAGCTACTCAAGAACTTGCATGCACATAAATATGTTAAAAAGCAGAAGGCTGTGACTGTTACCAAAGTTAATCTCAGAGAAGAAAACGACGCAAATCAGCACCCTGACCATATTCTTCAAAATATGCTTAAGATCTCGTCCTACATTCTACTGCTTTCTATCTTTATAATATCTAATTTTGTACACATTATTCCATTTTAAAGCATATTTTCTCACCTAGGTATATATCTCGAGACATATAATTTTTCTCTGCTGTTTATCAGTGGTCTGGACTTCTGCACATTACTTAACCATTTGGATGTTCAATTTTCCTAAATGTGAAATGGGGAAATTCATTGTAATAGGACATCAGCTAAGCCACCAGGGAAAGAAATTAAAACAACTCAATAGTTCAAAAGAGAAAGTAGTTCATTTCTTCCTCAGAACCAACTAGGGTGGACATGTGGTCTCTGCTCCATGAGCTCATGCAGTGACCCAGGCAAGTAGGGTAGACCAGTCATGGTACAAAGTGACTTCCAGGTTTGCTCTAGTCATTACCTTTCCCATCTAGTGAGAAGGGGTGGACAATGCCCAGGGCAGGAGTCTTCAGAGAGATGAGCCTGTCATTGCACTTACCCTTCTGCTCACATCCCTACACTTGACCACAAGGGAGACCGGGAAACAAACTGTAGCTGGGCAGTCATGGGTACAGCTAAAACTGAGGATACAGTTACTGCAAGGAAGGAGAGGAGGGATACTGACTACAAGGGGGACCCAAATACCCCAGAATTTATTTATTAAAAATCATGTATTTATTCTTACATATTTAAACTTGTCACCTTCAAAGTCCTGTCCATTTGATGCAATATACCTATTGAGACGTGTTTTCCATTGCTCAAAACCATTTTTGAACTCATCCATTTTGATACCTTCTAGTTCTTCCACTATTTTTTGGTCTCACCTCTTCCACATCAGCAAAATGTTTCCCTTTGAGAACTTTTTTCATCCAAGGAAACAAAAAAAAGTCACTCAGGGTGAGATTGGGTAAATAGGGAGGGTGGGGCAAGGGGGTCACACCATTTTGGGTCAAAAACTGCTGAACACTCAACACGGTATGGGCAGGTGCACTCATAAACTACCCATCATGAAATGGGCAAATGTGCAGAAAAAAATCTCCCCCCACAACAAAAAAAATTAACTGAAGCTGAACATAGCTTCTTACAACAACGCTAGCTGGTCCATGATGCCAATGGGCTTCTAGAACACTCACCTAGCAGAGGAAGCCTTGACTACAAGGGGCCCACTGTCCAAAAATATAATTCTTGGTTTTTCTGAGTCCCCCTCATATTAGTAATCTTTGCCACTACAATGTTGTGAGGACTAAAAGTATACTTGTAGAGCAAAGGAGTGTCTTAGTGGAACTTATAAAACCATCAGTACAGTACCTGTTACATACTGATGGTCATTAAATGGAAGTGATTCTTAGAACTAGTATCATTATTATTATTTAGTGCCTCTATCCCTGCCTGAAAGCTTGAATTCCCTTTAAGTATCATGAATAAGTGATTATTTAGCTATTCTGGAATCTCCATAGGGAAAGAAAATTTTGTCTCTCTTAAAGTAACCATTTCATTTTCCAGAGGCTTTTTTCTTCTTTCTGGCCATGATTTATCTTCTTACACTTCCTTCCTTTTCTGTTGTCCTAACTGTAATCTCTGACACCCTCCAGAACAAATGCCATCCCTCCCTCACACAACATTCCTTCAGCTACCTATGGGAAGCTATCGCTTCTTTCATGTTTTCTTTTTCTCTTGACTCGTCTTTTTTTGCTCCTCTAACAGTCCCTCATAATCCATGACTCACACTTCGTACATTTTCTTGAATTTATACAGATACGTTTGAAAAATTCACCAGCTAACATGTAGCTCAGTCTTGGACACACATTCACTCAAGTAACAAGTACCTTTTGAGTTCCAGCTATTCTATTTGACTAATACCCTCTGTGAAATTGTGTTGTCAAGGTTGTTACACAGTATTCCAAGCTGGTCTGACCACAGCAGAGTCCTGCACTTCCTCAGTGCCCTGATTCAGGATATCACCTTCCCCAAGTGGGATGTAAGATGATGTTAATTCTTCTGGCAACGTGTCATGCTGTTGTGACATGTGGAAATGTAGCCACTACACCCCCAGGTCCCTTTTCATATGTGCAGTTTACCTAGAGGTACCCAATCCCACACATGACCTTACAAAACCCAAATACAAAGCATGTCCTTTATTCCTAGTTAATTATCAATCATCTCTTATTGCAGTCTCTCATGGATATTTATTCTTTCATCCAGTGCATGCATGATCCTTCACAGACTCATGCCACGTGAACAACTGATGAGCACGTACCTGGGCTCTCCATCTAAAGTAGTGGTCAAACTGTGGAGGTGAACAGGGTTGAGGAGAAGCCACTAACAACCCTAGAGAACTCACTTAGCTGGTTACAAATGCACATGGCTGCACCAACACTAGGAAAATTATCCTCTCTGGCTCACAAAAGTCTGAAGAAAAGTTTTTGCCAAATGCCTTGTTTCTGTGCTGATGGCCATGCTCAGTGAGACCTCGACCTGCCATTCAAGCGCTACACTCCTGAGTAGGAGAGCATGATGGTGTTTTCCTGCTGTCAGACCTTTGTACAATGAGATTCCATAAATGTTTATTGAGTGCTGATTGTGTGCCAGGCACTGTGCTAGGCACTTTTTCATAGAAACGGAGCATGGAAGAAGTAGGATAGATTCTCTGAAAAATGCACATATTCTCAATTTTATATTCTCCTATTATTATGCCTAATGGGAGACCAGTGTACAACATTTCTTATTTAGAAGCTGGGGCAACATAGTGAGTGGACCCTATGTGTAGGTGTTCAGCTTTAAGCATGAAGGATATAAAGAGATATCTTAAATGCGATATGCATTCTTCTAAGACGAGCTCAATCAGTGGCTCAATTCTTGGTAAACAATAGACACAGGTGAAGTAAATCAACATAAGCAGTTCAGGCACGCTCCAGATACACTCAGCAATAATTATTCATTTGCTCTAGATGTCACAACTTACAGTTACATCATGAATCACCTGCACAGATGTTACCTTTTCCAACGGACTTTCTACTCGAGGAATGCTGATCATGGGCATCTGTGCCAGATTATCCATGTGGAGATGCTCATTTTCTGGTTGTCTTCCTTTGAAATTATTTACCACGCACACGACCTAAAATTTCAGAAAACAATTATAGTTAAAGCAAAACTATGCTCCTTATGGCCATCAGCCCCTTTGAGGAGCTTAATACAGCTAAACATGTAATAAAGTATTAAAATTATTTAAATGCTACATGTGTATAAATGCATATTCAGATTTATTTTGTGTAAATTTTAATAGCAACTCCAATATAGATATGTTCAAGAAAATTCATCAATTAATATGTAGCTCAATTAAGTATGACATTTTTATTATTCCAAAATTTTCATTGCAGTATAGTCAATACTCAAATCAATTCAAAAATAACACCATAACCTTATAAAAATTCACAGCAAGCTGACCTTCTCCTAATGTGGCTAACCTACAGCTTAATTTACATGCTAATTATTTTCCACTGCTTCAATATTACGTTCATAATAAACCTTCCACAATTGGTACTCTCTAATTTTGTAGTATCCCTTTAATTAACCTATTTTATCGCTATTGTGTCTCATATATACTTGGCATTTCAACAATAGATTACTGAGGTTACTATTGAAATAGAAAACACTTTACATAAAAGAAATTGACCCTTGTTTCAGTTTATTATATCTCATAAGCAACAGACTTTGAACTTATCCAAAGGTTCTCATACTTTAGTGTGCATAAAAATAAAGTTCTGGCACTGTTAAAGATTTACATTCCTAGCCTTCCCCTGAAGATTCTGATTTAGTAAATGAAGAATGAGGCCTAGCTGTTGGGTTCCAATGCAGGTGGGTCATATTTTAAGAAATAATGAATTAAACATACCAGGAAAATTATTTGCTATTGTTTGTTTATACAATAAGCAAGATATTATTGGGTAATGTATTCTTGAATTTTCTTTTCTGAGTTTCCTATCATATTATAAATCAAAACGTAGACCTTACGTGCATTTATAACCTAACATTCATTTTGTAGAATAAATGGTTAATACATAATTATACATATACACTGCATATTTTTCACATATGATCCATTGGAAAGTCTTTCTTTTGGTAAGACTCATTATGGAATACTTTCAAAGGCCAATTAGAGTTTGGTTACTTTCTAGTCCTTAAATGAAATGTATATATCAACAAAATAATAACACATACTGTGAAACTTGCATATTGTGATCTCTTTCTTATCCTTCCACTTCCCAGAAGAATTACAGACGAGAAGTATAGATCAAAGCCATATAATTTGATACCAGAACTTTACCGCTGCCACAAGATCCCTGAAGTAAGATCCTAAGGGCTTAGATATGGGTACCCAATAAACCAACTGTCAAATGATAGTGTCGGTTTCATGACCCCACAAAGGACTAATAGACACTGATTGCTCTAGAGAGAGGGTCAGCAAATGCTGTTTGTAAAGGGAAGAAAGTAAATATTTTTGGCTTTGCAGGCTTACAGTCTTAGCTGCAACTACTCAACTCTGCCTTTTGGTGTGAAAGCAATCATTGACAGTCCATAAACGAATGGGCATGTCAGTGTTCCAGTATAACTTTCTTTTAAAAAAAAAAGGCAGCAGGCCAAATTTGGTCTGTGGGCTGTGATTTGCTAACTGACCTCTGCTGTAGAATACAAAAAATATAATCAAGGATTTTATCCAATGATAGCAACAATGAAACAAACAAGCAGTTCCATACCCATTCCATGAAATACACACACACTATGCAAACATTTCCCTTTTAAATCAGTATTATAAATTATTCAAAAATTAGGCAGATGGAAAACACTGCTAATAATTATTCTGAAATAAAATTTGTTAAAATGAAATAACTATGTACACAGAAATGGAACTCATGAGATGAAGTTCATCTGTAGTTAATAAGGACTTCTGAAATTAGTATAATTATTTGTTATATTGTTTAGGTTTGGAAAACTCTTTGAAAGGATGTGTTGGTTATCTCTTTGCCTTAATTAAGTGCCGGGATAATACCACTGAGGTAGCTGAGAGTTCATAACTAAAATATGTAAGAACCTAACACATAGTAGACATTTACTAAATGATGTCTACTAGCATAATTATCTTCATTACTCTTATTATTTAAATTATAAGAAAAGAAATCACCAAATCTCCTTTAGAATCCTATTCTAATACTTAATAAGGCCTGTCTGCTAACATGCACAAGGAGGGAACTGATGTCGTATTTGTAAAGATGCTGATTAGAAAAAGGAGAGACATGAGTATGCCCGAGTCCACGTTCTCCTACAGTTCCCTGGTCTCAGTTTTCCCAATTAGAAAGTGAAGGGCTGCAGGAGATAACTATATGAGAGTAAAGGACTGCAATAGATCCCAAATAGATCCAAAAGTGAGAGAGAAAGGTTACAACAGATAACTAGGTTAAAGTGAAAAGTTGCAAGAGATCACTGAGAGTGAAGGACTGTGAGAGATCCCTAAGTGGGAGTGAAGTGTAGTAATAGATCACTAAGTGAGGGGAAAAGGTACCAAGAGATCCCTCATGAAAGTGAAGGGCTGCAGGAGGTCACTGAGAGTGAAGGGTAGTAATAGATCCCTAAGTGAGAGTAAAAGATTGTAAGAGATCCCTAAGTGAGAGTGAAGGACTGTGATAGGTCGCTAATTTAACTTCATTTTTGGTGGCAAAGGTATGACAAGTTCAATAAATACTCTAAAGTAAACTCAAGACCTGCCCACCTCCTGCCCCACTGTCTTTCCTGAGGACCTTCTCAAGGAAAGATACCATCACCACACCCACCTCCACCCTAACATGCTGCCCTGGCTGGATAGTTGGATTTATCCTTTACACCTCCTATGTTCAGTCACTGACTGAATCTGCTCAGTTTGCCTTTCTAAATATCTTGATGTCTAACCATCTTGATTTCTTAAATCTGCTTCATTCTACCTCCACCACCAACTCCAAAGAATAAGCAGCCACCACCTCTTGCCAGGATCCCTCACAGTTTTTTCACTCTACATCCAGTCCTGACACCTGCAGTCCATTATCTACAACGATGTGAGAATGATCTTCCCAAATGAATGCTGGATTACATCATCTCTTGCAGACCATTTTTGGAGTGGCTTTCCATTTCTCTTACACCATGAACTCTGGCCCATCCTCCAATCTTCCTTTTCCATTTTCCAAATACCTTCTGCTCCCTTTCACTTTCTGCTATCTAGACATTCCTCATCTCCACTGTCTTGGGACGCCATGTCTAACTGAGCCATGGTATCTCATCTCAGCATCACTTCCTCATGGATGCCTCCCCTGAACTCACAGCTGGGACAGTTCATTTTGTTGTGTCTGTTTTCCTTTTGCTCACATGGAACTGTGATTCTTTTTATCAAAGCACTTATCTCAGTATGAAATCACGCACCTTCGAGTGTAACACTTTGATGAAGTGTGTCTCTTCCAAGTTCCACAGATGCAAAAGTCTTTATTTTTTGCTCACCATGGATTCCCAGTGCCACAGTGAATGAATGGATTAATGAATGAGCATGCACCTAGGTCAGAAAACCTCACATTTTCTGAAGTGCTTATATAATTTAAAGTCACTTTGCTGTGAGACATTCTATTTTTACATTATGACTTGTATGGATTTATTCTCTCCTACAAAAATGACACTAATAAACTACCAGTACACATACATATTTTTTCATTTTCCAGTAGTGATAGAAAATTAATTTGATTCATTTGTGGTCATTTTCTTTCTTCCTTCATGGCAAATGAGATATCATTATTGCATGAGGGTAAGTACATGGGCTTTGGGGTCCAACAGGCTTGTACCTTAATCAGGCCTCCGATTTTTTTTAATCTGCAAAATGAGAACAATAACAGCTATATCTCAGTGAGATTTTGTGAGGATTAATTGGGTTAATATACTAAAGAGCACACAAATAATGTATTTTTATTAATATATGATATGCAATAACATGATAAGCTATTGTTGTGGCTTAATAAGCTGAATAGTACTGCCAGACACTGCCATATGTATCATATTTGGAAGTGTTTTGAGGCATATGTTTTTATATGATAAAATTATTTGAAAATAAAATGACCCAACTCTTGTTCCAATAGCATAGGGGATTTTGCTCTCTAACCTGAGACAAAATGTCCATGGGATAAGACTGAAACATTAAGATGGTATATAATTCCTTATTTGATTATAGAAGACAGATTGAGAAAGTGGAAGAAGTTCAGGGAAAAAAAATGGAAGAACCAGCAAGTCAGAGAAAACCCCTGGGGACATCAGAACATGTCTAAGCCACATCTCAAGTGCATAAAGGATCTGAATGCAGTCATCAGAGGTGGGGACCTGGTCCCCAGTGGCTCGTCTTGCCAAACCCTGGACTGCCCTTATTGCCTGTGGGGTTTTGCTTAACTCTTAAAAGAGCTATGGGAGCAAAGAAAATAATCCTTTATTCATTCTCTCATGTACTCATTCATTCGTCAAATATTTGCTGAGTGCTTCTAATGTGCCAGATCCCGTGAGGAGAAGGAGGTGAACAGAACAAATAAAAGGACTTCCCCACAAGGTACTTGCCTTCTAGTGGAACTGGCAGCAACACAAAAACACATATGTTCCATGCGGGACACTGCACATTAACTAATTAATGTCATATTGCACATAAAAAGCAAAGTGAGGTGGGAATTAGGAAAGAGATTCCCAGGGAGAGTAGCCATTTCTAACACGGTTCAGAGAAGGCCGCACTGTTTTAAAAGTAAGAAGCAATAGTCTCAAGCATGAACAGCATGGTCCAGCCAAAGGACAAAGAATCAAGACATGAAAGAAATATCCTTACAGTGGAAATGAACTGGAACTCAGTGAATCATGGTGTGGGGAATGGACCGGCAGGAGGCGTCAAAGGCACATGCCAGGCATGGAGTCTGGGTGACTGTGAGTGTGGGATCCTTTAACTGAGACAGAGAAACTTGGAGTCCACACATGTCAATTTTATTTTGAAATCATTGAGGAATTCTGCACACACTGCAAGATAATTGAAAACACCCCAGGATTCTGAAGGCCAGAGCTGGAGTCACTGCTCAGAACAGATGTCCTAGTAAGTTGCCCAAATGAGAAACGGGGGTCAAACCACAGGATGCTCCCTCCTTCCATCTCCACCAGGCGCCAAGCCATCCCACCTTGAGACTTCCTGGGGGTGTGTTGTCTTTCCTCCCTGTTCTGGTGCCACCAAGACCCGATCTGCGCCACCTTATTACTCTGGTTCTGTCTCCTCCATCTCCAGCTTGAGTTTTAGCTTCCAGCAAATGTATTTTCAAAGAACAAATCTTATCATAGGGTGAAAGGGACTGAAAGGGAACAAGCTGCCATTTATGGAAATTACTTCAGACATTCTTGTGACCCTTCAGGGACCATGCCCTGTTCATTTAACTTCTACAGACCCTCATGATGTCCCTTTAGCGAGGCAGACAGGTAGCGTCACTTAGAGAGACCTGCAGGTACCAACACTCACAGGACCGTGAATGCACACAGAGATACATGACATGTGTGGTCATGACGCAGTCATCGTTTCCATGTGACCTGGCTGTGAGGTCATTTCCCTGGTATGTGGGGGTGTCTGAAGGGCTATCCTGGAATGTTCTAAATATGTGCAACAGGAGGATCTTGAGCCCAAGAAGGAGTCAGCCTCCAGCTCAGCATTTGCCATGTGATTCAGATTGGACATGCCTGAGAAGGTACCAGAGCTCTGATTTTGGCCTTCAAAATGTTAAGGTATTCACTGGAATGAAGGGAAGACAGCAGCAGCCTCAGGAAGACAAGAAAGCAGAGGGATGCCGTGAAGGTGTTATGGACCCATGGAGCTGAAACACTTACATCTGTCACTAGTGATTTCAAATTGTGATGACTGGCATGCTCTTTGCTTTGCCTTTAATAATTTTTTAAGGCTGAGCATGGTGGCACACATCTGTAATCCCAGCACTTTGGGAGGCTAAGATGACAGGTTCACTTGAGCCCAGGAGTCTGACACCAGCCTGGGCAACATAACGAGACCTCGTTTCTACAAAAAATAAAAAAAATAGCCAGGCATAGTACCATGCACCTGTAGTCCCAGTAACTCAGGAAGCCAAGGCAGGAGGATTGCTTGAGCTCAGGAGTTTGACACCAGCCTGGGCAACATAGTGAGACTTCGTTGCTACAAAAAATTTAAAAATTAGGGCATGGTGGCGTGCGCCTGTAGTCCCAGTGACTCAGGAGGCCAAGGTAAGAGAGTTGCTTGAGCCCAGGAATTCAAGACCAGCCTAGACAACATAGCAACAATTTGTCTCTACCAAAAAAATTTAAAAATTAGCTGAGCATGGTAGTGGCGCCTGTTATCTCAGCTACTCAGGAGACTGAAGCAGAAGAATCATTTGAGCCCAAGAGGTCAAAGCTGCAGTGAGCCTTGATCATGCCACTGCACTCCAGCCTGGATGACACAGTGAGACTTCTACTCAAAAAAATAATTATTATTATCATTACATAATATTATATTTATAATATTAATTTTGTAATATATATATTTAAGATTTATGCAAGTGTTTGTTGTTGTTGTCTTTTAATGTTAACTAGTTTCAGCTGTGGTGAGTGAATACAAGGAATAAGTGTTGGTTCAAGACTGGGTCCTAGTTTTCATGAGGCTCCAGGAAATCTCCAGGAGAGAGAGAAGCTTGTGTCTAAGTGTTCCAAGGACCTTGGGAATCAGAGAATGTGGCATTAAGATAGGAAGAAGCCTAGGGTGTGGTGTAGAGATGAGGCCGTGGTCGCTACTTCACCACAGGAGATTCTAGAGGAAGTAAACTGTTTAGGATGGACACTGGAGATTCAGGATGGGGAGAGGTGGAGCAGGAGGGGTGAAAAGTCACCTGTCGAGTATGAGTCACACAGGTGGATTGCAGGGTATGCGCAAAGCCCAGACTTCTTTGCCAGACATCCATGTCACCAAAATCACTGTACTCCTGAAAGCCATTGAAATATACATATTTTTAAAGTCCAGTGCAACAATTGTGTGCCAACATTCAGTGGCTGGGAAGGTTCACATAAGTTTTTCCTAACTGATTGTTAACTAGTAAAAAGACGCCGAGGAAGGAAAGTTACATGTAAGAAGCAATTCAAATGTAATCAACATGGAAATAAAGTATTTTTTAAACAACAATGTGTCAATGCAAAAAAAAGTGTTTTTTTTTTAACTTAATTTTATTATAAAGGTGTGGGCACAAGTCAGGATTAGGTACATATGTAATATATGTACAGGTGAAGTTTGGGCCTCCACCTGGGCCTCACTTCCCCTGACTTCAGGTACCCTTAGTGATGTTATGTGCCTGTCTCCCCATTTTGATTTATAGTCTATATATTGTTTCATCTAAAACATCATTGGCTCATACTTATAATGGGCCAAAGAATTACAAAGTTAGATGAAAATATATTTTCCAACAACCAAAACCTATAGAAATACTTCTAGGAGAATTTATTTATTTATTTATTATTTAGAGTCAGAGTCTCACTCTGTTGCCCAGACTGGAGTGCAGTGGCATGATCACAGCTCACCACAGCCTCAACCTCCTGGGCTCAGGTGATCCTTCTACCTCAGGCTCCCAAGGAGTTGGGACTACAAGCAGTCACCACCACACCTGGTTAATTTTTTTTTTCCCCAGAGACGAGATGAGGTCTTATTACGCTGCCCAGGCTGGTCTCAAACTCTTGGGCTTGCTCAAGTAATCCTCTTGCCTCTGCCTCCCAAAGTGCTGAGATTATAGGCATGAGTCATGCCTAGATTTTAAAATGGCAGCAGAGACACCATGTTCACTTAATCAGAAGTTGTTGTGTGTGCTCTTCACTCCACAGCAACATATGGTTGACATGGTGCAGGCTGGAAACTCCTCATGACACTGGTCATTGGAATGAAATCGCACCCCCCTTAGATGAGCTTTGCCTCTTGGAGAGCACTGTCACATGGGGCTCACAAGAGGACAGCGGGAGGCACTGGGGTATCTGGAGTGTTCTAGATACTCCAGGATGCCAATCCCTAAGGAAATTTTAAAAACATCCAATGACTCTGTCTTAAAAACCACATGGGGAGGACTGGGTGTTTTAGTACTGTTCCATTTTATTTGAAAATATGCCATTCACCTTTAAGTGTAAAATTTAAATTTGCTCATCCCTAAACCTGACTGTAGGTGAAACAAGTGAGAGAGGAAGAAATGAATGACATATAAAATTGTTTGATAAACCACATTTAGCCAAACCTAGTGATTCACATTTGTATTATAGATGATTATGCAAGTCAACTTAAAACACAAGGACATCGAAATAAATATGTACTTACCAGAAACACTGCTATAGATATTCCCACCAAAAAGCCTGCTATTACATCTGACCAGTGATTTCGATATTCTGCTACTCTGTTGAGTCCAGTAAGAAAAGCCAAACACATTAAGCCCAAGCATAGAACTGGCTTAGCAAGTCTGGTTCCTTTGGCTTTGATTGTGTTGGTAATATACATCTGAAACATTAAATAAAAAATATGACTTTTTATGTAGGTATTTTCTTTATATGCATAACATATATATGGACACATATATACCTCTTGACATATATATGGCTATGTGACTCAAATCATGAACTATTATTCATAAATGTCTTGAAAAAAGTTTCTCAAAAGCAGAATCAAAGAGCAGCAATTATTTAATTTTACTTACCTGATATAGTAATTTCTTAGCAATAGTCAATTTTTATGTAACATTATTAATTGTCTAGGAACCCCGAGCACAGATTTTCCAAGTGGCCTTTTTATTTTTACTTTTACTGTAACTATTCTTGTTTTATCTAAATTTTTATTTTAGATCGATCTCTACAATACTGTTAGAAGAGGAAAATTGATTGTTTTTAATGTTTACATTTGTAAATGCCATATTGAGAGGGTGCATAATTGATAAAAACCAGAATTGTGAATATAAGTAGGAAAAACAAAATGTAGTAATTTCTACCAAACAGATGTTACTTTGAAGAAAACTTGTAGGTTCAACGCAGAGCCAAGGTTTACTTTTCTGCTGTTATCTTCAGTTGTAAAACTACTTTAACTAAATTTCCCCAGTCAGAATTAGGACAACAAAAAACCTTAAGTACAATAGGAAAAATGATATTGTCAGGGGAGGGGAGGTGGAATTGGCAATTGAGGGAAACTGCTAGGGGAGGGAGGGGCATACCTCATCAACAAGGGTACCTGCATGATCAATGTTTATATACCTAACCCCGAAATGTACCCCACATCTTTAAAATAAAAATTTAAAAAAAAGAAGTAAACAAACCAGTGAATAGGTACCTGCATTTCTGGCATCTTCACAAACTCTAATAAAGAACAAATAGTGTCAACTGATTGCAGTGAATTAAATGTCTCCAAGTTGTGAGGCACCATGCTCAGTAACAATTTGGTTTTCCCCCAGTCTGACTCATTCTACAGCCTAGTTGCTCATAATTTAAAACGACTCTATAAGCAAATCTGTATACCACAGGTGGCATATGTCAATTATTATTTCAAGTCATTCCCATAGTAATTGTAAAAGAGATGGCTTTGATAGCACAATCAGATTTTATTGTAGGAATGTCAGTATCTGGTACTGATTATATACTCAGAAATATACCTAGAAATGCATATAAACACTTATATATTTTCCTCAGTTAAATAAACAATACATTTGACCAAGAAAGTAAATAAAAATCAGCATTTAAGTTTTCAGTTCACAGCAACCATTTTAGCACTCTTTGAAATCTGGTAATTATCTTCTCAATTTTCCCCCCCAGGGCAAAGTTTCCAGCCCTTTTAGCTGCTAGAAAAGGTTGTATGAATATTTAAACAGTTCAGGTGACACAAGGCTTCCCTCTAGCCAAGTCCTAGACTTTTACAATCTATCGCAAGTCCCAACACTCAGGGAGTGAGGGAAAGCTGAACTGTCTCATCTTGGCCCATGACCTTTGGAGCTAGGTCTATGTAGCTAAGCCTGTGCTGGGACAAGCTTCATCATTTCAGTTACGGAGGATAAGTACACAAGAGTGAGGCACAGGAAGGGATGAGAAGGCGAAAAGGATGTTTTTGCTGTTCTGAGTTCTGAGAGAATGTGTTAAAGAGTCCTGCCCATATGAATGGCAAGGCAACGTCATCACACCAGGTCAGCTTGCTAGTGACACAACTAACAGAGTAATTCCTGGTGTGACTAGTACATATGAATAGAGAGGGTCATCTGGGCTGCCTGGGAGACTTTCTTTAACACAGCTTTAAGGCTGGTTAATGTTTTCTTACGTATGCATTTCTTCACATCTATCAAGACACTAAAGATATCCTATTCTTGTTAAGACAAAATAAATGTGAGATGATAATTAAATATTTTTAATAGTGCTAATATTCATAATAGCTACCATTTAATGAGTGATTTCTGTTCAAGGCAACAGAAATCAGTTCTAAGCATTTTATATTAATTATCTAATTAAATTTTCAAAATAACCCTCTAAGTTAGATATCACTATTACCTCCATTTTATAGATGAAAAAATTGGATCAAGATAAAGCTTAGTATGAAGACTATACAACTTGAGGTGGCAATGCTGAGAAAGGAGAGAAGTAAATGGGAAGCAGGGAGATGGCACTTGGGTGTCTCCTGATCTTCCTTTTTTCATCACTGATTTCTTGCCTGGAGAGAATGGCCAGTGAACATAAGCTGAGTGTCAGTGACTGCAAGAATTGGAGTTAGAGATAAGAAAAGGATTGCAGGATTATGAGGCTACATCTATGCTCAGCAATTAGAGAGAAGTGGGGAGTCGTGTAAGTGTGTCCTTGTGCGAAATCGCCTACAGAATCTATAAGGCTTTGGGAAACGTTTGCCTTCCCCTCAGTCCCAAGACCATCTCAAACAAAGCCCAGCCAGCCCTCACTTGTCCGTTTTTTGTAGGACCACAGTATCCTGTGGGCTTGGGCGATGACCCTCTAATATTTCTCTTGAATGTTAAATTGATACCTAAATTTCCCTAATAACTCAAGCAAGGTTTAGAAGGAGTCCCAAGACACAGTGTGGCTACAATGCAAACTCATGAAAAAGCTTCTGTCTTAGGACTAGCCTGGGCTTGGGTTGTTATTAGATCCTACTTAATGTCCAGACCTAGTGTGCAGAGTAGACAGTGACTGCGTTTCAAGGGTTGTGAATTTACGTTTAAGGTAGATCCCAGTAGTGCTTCATAATGCAGAATTTTCTGGCATGGATGTCACAAAAGAAACATTAGAGAGCTTTTATTCATACTCAGCAACTCTTTAGTACTTTATGAATATAAGTGCCCTTTAACCAATCTAATTGTGTTATCCTTACAGAAATTCTATTATTCCTAATTTGCAGAAGAGGAAATTATGGCATAATAATCTATTAAGCAAGTTGGATACAGGACAGAAATTGATTATTTATGCTTTCTTGGTTTTTAATTCACTTATGAAACCATCCAGGTTAACCAGATGTCAAAATGTAGCTAAAATAAAATGCAGACAGAAGGGTGTGTGACTTGAGCAGGATGGTGTTCACTTGGTCCTGTGGGGTCAGTGGAGGCTCACTTCATCACAGGCCAACCACTTCCATCATTGTTAGAGGAGCTTGTTCATCCATTCGACAAATGACTATTCACACTAAGTGAGAAAGGCAAGCGTGATCATTTCCTCCCTGGTAACAACCTGGTGTATACTCTTTGACCCTTTTCTCTTTGCATATACACATATATACAATAATTAACACACACACACAAAGGTTTTGCTTCATTATTTACTTTCACTAAAATATAATCACAATGCCCTTATGTTTCTGTGCTATGAACTGACTCATCCACTATATTAAACATTCATTTTGTGTGACTCATCCACTATATTAAACATTCATTCATTCATTTTGAAAAAAATTGTACTATTCCTAAGACAATGCTATTATAAAAGTAAATAAAAATAAAAGCACATAAATTTTGTTAAGCACCTACTATGCACCACAGGCTGTGCTAGATTCTTCAAAGAGGGGACACATGAGGTCAGATCCTGAAAAGTAGATCCCTGGCAAAGGGGATGTGGTGGGAACAGGGTCCTGGACACAGGGGACAGTATAGGCCATCTGCTCTGTGGTCTCGAAGTACCTTGTTCCTCTTCATGAAGGGTGAACCTGAGTCCCCAGGCTTGGTGACGCCAGTGTCCTCGACACAGGGGATAGCACAGGCCACCTGCTCTGTGCTCTCAAAGTACCTTGTTCTTTCTCTCTAAGAACACTTCCCGTGATGCCTGGTTATTTATTTTCATTTTTTTCCTTCTCTAGAATTAAGACACAGAAGTTGAGTCTGGGCTCCTCACTGCAAGCCCTCTACTTGGCTCTGACACACAATCCTACTCAATAAAGACTAGACTTACTGAATAAAAGAATAAATAAGGAAAAGTTCAAAGGTTCAGGGGAAAGTGCAGAGAGTATTTCTCCATAGCATTTGCCTCCATCTAAAGCCATGGCCTCCATTTGTGTGCATAAGTGTTTATCTACTCACTGCTAGAACACTCCATGAGAATGAAGTCTCAGTCCCTTCACTGCTGAAATACATAGAATGTCTTTCATATAGTACAAATTTAAAATACTGAATAAATAAAGTGCTTGGGGAGAAGTGAATGTCTGAGCTCTTGTCAGATTATTGGAGACTGTCTTGCATAAAGGTCTCCTTGCTTATGGTCCTTCTCTCCCATCTGTTTCATACTGTCTAGAGCTATCCCTGGTAGAGTAGGCACTTATGATCAGAAGAGTATCGGCCCTCTAAAGATGCCCATGCGTGGATCCTAGGAACGTGGACATGTTACCTAATCGCAAAAGTTCCTAAAAGTGGAGAACCTTCTCTCTCTTCTCGTCATCAGAGAGAGATTTGGAGAATCACGAACAAAGGAATGCAGGCAGCCACTGTAGGCTGGAAAGGCAGGAAATAAGTTCCCCTAGAATCTCCTCCCAGGCTATGAGGGAGACCCAAAACACCAGAGTTCTCTTTTGGAGGGTGGGCCTGTGGCAGGACAGGCTTCCCCACAGATGAGTGTTCCAGGAACCCATTGGCATCCATGGACCAGCTAGCATTGTTGTAAGAGACTGCGTTCAGTTTCAGTGATTTTTTTTTTTTGAGATTTGCCCATGATGGGTGATTTATGAGTGCATTTGCCCACACTGCGTTGAGTGTTCAGCAGTTTTTGACCAAAATGGCATGACCTCTATGCCCCACTCTTCACATTTACTGGATCTTATCCTGAACGACTTTTTTTGTTTGTTTCCCCAGATGAAAAAAGTCCTCAAAGATGTTTTGCAGATGTGGAAGTGGTAAAACAAAAGAGGCAGTAGCACAAAAAGGCATCCAAATGGATGAGTTTAAAAACTGTGTTGAGCAGTGGGAAAAGCATCTCAATATATGTATTGTATCAAACAGAGAGGACTTTGAAGGGGACTGAAGTTTAAACATGGAAGAATAA